GAGTGTATGATTCAGAAATGGATTCAGTATGACTTAAAATTTTGGGCACTGAAACAAATAGCCCTTGTTGCTTTTCATAAGATTAGGTGACTGGTGCCAGCTTTAGAGAGGAAATATTAGAGGAGTATTTCTTCGTGTTAGATTTTGTCTACAAATGTCTTGTAACATTTTCTTCAACTACTAGGGAAATAATATTGTGCATCCTACTTTCAATGAGAGTGCTCCCAGCAGCAATGTTTGTTTGTTTGTTTTACCATGAGTGTTCATGATTAATACTGGGAGTTGTAAGTATATAAAATAGTTTTAAGAGCATATCTAAGGGAAACGTCACAGAATTATGGGATGAGAAATCAATCCTTGATTATGTAAGACCAAAATTTTTGATTGTTCTTTGATCTGGTGTGCCCAACACAAGCTTCTTAGTTACAAGGGCTCTCCATGTCAAAAGCACTTTGTAACCTCAACTTTACTGGAAGTCAGTGCAAGCACCTTCTAAAATCAGTACCTCAGTGCCTTAAGTTTAACACCCAAAGTTGGTAAATGCTTGTATAAAAGCTAGTTTGCCTTATACTATGATTGATTTCTTGTCGCCTTATTTTAATGTTGATTCATTTTGATCATTAAGGGCAAAACCAGAAGCCTAATCTTTTGCTATTTCTTTTAACAAACTACAGCAAAAGTAAATCTTCCTGTAGGTACAACCACAGACACAATGCCGCTTCTAGCATTTCCTGTGGCGGGGCGCCTACCTCAGAGCTGCTCAAGAAAGTTTTGGTCTCTAAGGCCAAGTCCTGTACTCAGGTTTAATTAAGCTAAATTCTTATTGACATCAGTGGGAATTGTACCCGAATAAATGTTGAATAACAGACTCCTCATACCTTGGGCAAGGAAAATTTTGTGAGGGACAACCCCAGACTTCCCCAACACAGATATTTGTAGTCCCTTCCCTGTCTCTTCATCTTTGTGCAGAGAGAGGTAGTTAGCCTTGTTAGTTTAAAGTCAAGTGGACAGCAGGATAGATTTGTACTTTATAGCCTAACCAAAGTAGATATATAAGAAAAGCTTTTGTGAAACTCACTTCTTCATACGCTGAGCTGATGAAGCAAGCTTCAGCTCATGAAAGCTTGTGCAATAAGTAGAGACTAGACAAATAGATACTTTGGTTAGTCTATAAGGTGCAAATCTACCCTGCCTTCCTCATCTTTGTGACAGAGTACCTTCAGCGTTACTTCACTGAACACTGCAATAACAGTTTTACCAAACCCAACCCCTGAAAATCATGAGTGAAACTCCAAAAACCCCCCATAATATTAGCTTAAAAAAACACACTTTCAAAATATTTTGGCTCCTCTTGTCCTCTGGTTTCAGAGCCTTTAGGATGCATTTGCTTAATGTTTTGAAGTTGTATGCAGCAATCATGGCACTAGAAACTTACTTTCTAAATGAAAATGAAAATGGAGATTGTAACACATTCCCATGAATCTGGGAGTGAATGATATAAGAAGTATACAATAAAACAGAGTTGGCAACACAATGGGTACCTTCCAGTTCTCCTTTCTTGGGTGAGGGGTTCAG